GCTGCCTCTTCCCCGTGGTCGGTTGAGAGAGTTCTGGGTGGTACCCCCTGGCCCCAACGAGCTGCTGGGGGTAGGGGACGGGCTGCCATCCCCCATGTTCTCAGGGAACGCCACGGTACAGCGCCCTCCTCCAACCAGGCCTTGCTCCTCCCAGCTGGGGTCCCTGATCAGAAAGGGTGGGGGATACTGGAGAGTTTGGGGGAGTTTCCCTTCCAGGGTCCTGGCAGAAAACATGTTGGGGTGCTTGTAAGTACCCCCCAGGAGGAGGGCTGAGGGGACAGAAGAGGCCGAGACTCTGCCGGCACCCCACCAACACATCGTGGGGGAGATGTGGGGACACAGACAACCCCAGTCCCTGCTCTTTGTCCTTGGGGAGCCCAGGCGTGAAGTGCAGATGAGTCAGAGTTGGCTAGAGACCGAAGAGCTGGGGTCTGCAGTTCTCAGGGGGCCCCCTCACCACCGTGGGAGTCCAAGCCCAGGAATCCCCTCTTGGCAGCCTGTAGTCTCGGTTGGTGTGTTTTGGTCGGTTGACTTGAGCTCCGGGCCTCAGTTTCCTCATCTGTGCCCAGGCATCGAGATATTGAAGACAGAGCCTCCAGGGCCGCTGGCTGGAGCCAGGTGAGCCCAGATGCCGAGAAGGTGCAGAGGAGGGAGACCCTTGGGTCTGGCTGCCTTCCTTTGACCCAGGACCTCGGAATGGCTGAGGGCGGATTACGGAGGGAGCCAGCTGGTTTCTTACCCAGACCGAGGCGCTAAGCACCGGTGTCCTGGGCTGCTCTCTTGTGTCCTCACTTGAATCCAACACCCTGGCTTCTGGTCGGACTTAACCCTTTGCTGTGGACACTCCTCTGGGCATCCCCACCCGGCATGCAGGAAACACTCTTTGGTTTTGGTTTAAAAAAAAAAAATTGTCAGGGTTTGTCCTTATTTTTTGTTTGTATTGGCTCGGGGTGAGAAGGGTGCTTCTGTCCTGTTGAAGCTGCCCGTGAACTGGCAAATGGGAATGGAGGCGTGGCCGGCCTGGGTGAGCCCCACCCTAGGCCCTGTGGGTCCACAGGGCACGATGGCTCAAAGTTGGGTGCCGTGTGCCGGTCCCCCTTCCCGACACCTGTTTTCTCTCCCAGCAGATGTGCACCCCCAGCAACACACCTGCTACGCCACCCAACTTCCCTGACGCGCTGGCCATGTTCTCCAAGCTCCGTGCCTCCGAGGGCTTGCAGAATAGCAACAGCCCCATGACGGCCGTGGCCTGCTCCCCCCCTGCGAGCTTCAGCCCCTTCTGGGCCTCGTCCCCACCCAGCCACCAGGCCGCCTGGATCCCACCCTCCTCCCCCACGGCCCACAGCTTCCACCACCTGCACCACCCGCAGCCCACGTGGCCCCCCGGAGCACAGCAGGGGGGGCTCCCAGCAGAAAGCCGTGGCTGCGGTGGATGGCCAGAGATGAGACTGGATGCCGCCAGGCGCTGGGCTGGAGCTGGGGCGTGGGGGGGGGGCAGTCCAGGGTCGTGGGGACACAGGAGGGCCGGGGTGGGGGAGGAGCTGGGGGTGGGTGGGGTTTCCTGAAGAGCGCACTGGAAGATTTTATAAAATAATTTTTGTGGGGGGGGGGGATAGTAAACTTCCTGAGCCACTTGGGTCCTTCAGGAGTTTGTCTTCAGACAAGTTTTTTTCCTCTTTTTAATATATAACTATAATATATATGACTATATAAATATAACTAATGTTATGTGAAATGAGGCTGGCTGACTGCGGTGTTGGGGTCAGCAGGGAAAGCCCGGAGTGTCTCCTTGGGCCAGCACCCTCTCCTCCACCCCTCGTCCCAGGGCAGGTGCTTGCAAGCCAGGTGGGGTGACCTGCAGCCCTGAGAGGTCCGCTGGCTGCCTCTCGGAGGTGACGCCTTCGGGAATCAAGAGGACCACCGTGGATCCGCTCCGAGGAGTCCCCCAACGGGCTCCCAGAAGCGCCTGGCGGCCAAAGGTACAGAGGCCCCTGGCCATCACAAGTGCTCCCCACCTGGACTTCGTGGCTGGCTCCTCAGTGGCCCCGCAGCTCTGTCTCTCTCCCGGTGTCGCCTGTCGCCGGCTGGATGTAAGGGGCTTGTGCTGAACTAAAGAGCTGGCTTGGGTCAGGGGCTGAGGCTCTGCCTAGCGGGGGTCCTGCCTCTCCCACTGTGTGTCTCACCCGAGTGGATGGCAGAGTGGAGAGCTTGACTTTGGATTTACTTCCCAAATCAATCATCTCACCAGGGTGAAATTTTAATTTAAAAAACTTAAAAGAGACTTTTCTAACTTCCCTGGTTTGCGGTTCCTTTATTTCCTGGGTAGGAACAGGGGTCCCCCTGGGAAGAGGGGGGCGGGGCTTCAGTGTGGGGTGGCTGGTCCGGGTATTCTGATCCAGGGTGTCGGGACCAGGGGGATGATAGGACCAGCTGGGTCCAGCTGAGTATGGGAGGGAGAGGAGGGCCTAGGTCTGACTGGCTTCTGTGACCTTCTCCCTTTCTTGGCCCTTGCGGTGTGGCCCACCGCAGGCTGGCACTTGGCCCTGGAGGCTTTGTCTTGTCTGCAGTGGGGAAGCTGCTTCCCGAGGCCCCAAGGCATCTTCCCACTGGGCCCGTCCCTTCTGTCCCTATCCTCAGTCCCTGGGGATAGCCTGGCTCTGACTGCGTGTCGAGTGGCCATCCCCCAGAGGTCGACCAAGGCTGTCCAGAATCCAGAGACCGGGTGGTTCCCAAAGGAGCTGGCTTCCTTTCCCCTCCCACCTTCCCCACAGCCTCCAGCCACTGGAGCAGAGGCAGTGTTGGCAATTTGTGACCCAATGGGGCCTTTGCTCAAATGATCCTCAACCAGGTGGTGGATGCTACTTTTTTTTTTTTTTTTTTTAAAAAGCTTTTTATTTGGCAGAGAGACCTGGAAAGAGGAAACACAAGCAGGGGGAGTGGGAAGGAGAAGCAGACTTCCAACCCAAGAGGGAGCCTGATGTGGGGCTCAATCCCAGGACCCTGGGATCATGACCCGAGCTGAAAGCAGATGCTTAAGGATTGAGCCACCCAGGTGCCCCAGGAGGGATGCTACCTTGTACCCCCTTGCGCCCTAAGACCCCTAAAACACGTGTGTGCTTGTGTGTGTGCGTGTGCGTTGGGGGGAGGGGGCTTGTTCTCTCCGTCCTCAGCAGCCAGAGGCCTGTGATGGACCCTGCTGTAGATTGGGGCTGGAGGGGCTGGGGGTTCATAGCCTGAGGAGGAGTGACACCTGAGAGGAGCCTAGGGAGCACGCAAGGCTACCTCCTCCAGCCCGCCCACGCAGCGGCTCCTATGGAGCCGAGCAGAACCTGCCAGCAGTGCCCTCTGCCCTCTGCATGGGATGGTTTCCTCTGAGGCTGGGTTAGTCCTTCCAGTTTTGTTTCCTGGCTGGAAACCCCTGGGCCGCCTCCCGGCCTCACCCCTAAGCCAGCCCACCTGTGCTTTCCGGGGCCGCGAGGGGAAGTCCCTGGAGGGCCCGTGGGCGGCCACGCTGGGACCACAGCCTGGGGAGGGTGGGCGGCCTGGCCCAGGTGCGAGGATGGGGGCTGGCCTACGCTGCTTGGGGAATGTCCTCCACTCCCCGTCCTTGTCTGGGCTCAGGAGAGGCCTGGGCACGGAGGGCTGGGCTGTCCTGCTTCTGCTCCTCCCTGCCAAGCTGGTGAGTTTGGATTCTAGGCCAGGGACACTGAGCCAGGAACCTGCTGACATCTCTCAGGCTGGGTGAGAAACGGGAGCCAGGCAGGAGCAGAGGGGCTGGAGCTGGCTCTCCTGCTCGGGGAGAGAAGGGCAACTGGCTTGAGACCTTTCTACCGGGCCCCCAGGGTTCAAGCTGTTTCCCACTTCTTACCCAGCCAGGGCATTAGATCATCGTGAGAAGATGGAGGGGATCTCGGCCCATGGGGAAAGCAGGGGGAAACACCACCCTCGCCCGTAGGGAACACCTGCCCCACCCCCATGACACCCTCCTTTGCCCACACAGGACTGGGGAGAAACCCTCTTCTGGGCAGTTTCCTGCCACACTTTCCTTTTGTGTGTGATTTGTCACCCCATCCCCTCCCACCTTAAAGCGAGCCTCTTGTGTGAGACATCCCTTCCCTATGTTGGGGTGACAGGAGGGGGCTGGGGGCCTCCCATGAGAAGAGACCTGAAGACAGAAAAGCTGCTTCTGTGACTTCAGAGGCCTCGTGGGGAGGGCGGTTCTCCCTCGTTCCCCCCCCCAGGGCCCCAGGGGGTCTGGGGATTCATCCCATACCCGCTGAACTCAGCCACTGCCCCTCGCTCCTCTGTCCCCTCAAACCTGCCAAGACCTTTAGCTCAAAGGACTCGGGATAGCAGTGAACCCTCTTGCCTCTTGGGGGCTGGTGGAGCCCAGCAGGCTGGGGCAGTACAAAGGCTAGGCCTCCGGGCTGCTGGGCACATGGCAGTCCCCTGGCTAAGCCCCTCCCGACACACTTCTGCTCACATTTCTTTTCACTCTTTCTGGGGAGGGGGAAGGGGAGCAGGGAACCGGCCTAGGCCAGGCAGTCCCTCTTTGCCTCTGCAGCAGCCACTCAAGGGTAAGCTACAGAGGACAGCAACCAGAAACCTTCCCAAGTGGCCGGGGCCCTGCTCCCCGAGGGATGTGCCAGGAACACCCCAGTGGGCCAGGCCACCCTGTAGGCCAGCAGCCTCGGGGTCCCGCGGAGGTCAGGAGAGAGCCCGCAGGGGTGAGAGCGGCTCCTACTGTGGCCTACCAGCCCCGGGCTCTGGGGTCTGGCCTCACCAGCTTCTTTTGAAGCCCCGCACCCTTGGAGGGTTGCTTCACCCATTTTGGGGGGTTGGGGGTCGTGGTCTCATTCTTACGCTACAAGTCCAACCTGTTCAACTGAAGGCTGGCCACCCGGACCGGGGGGTGGTCTGGCGGCGCCTGGCCTGCAGGGCCCCCCACCCTTTGACTCCGTCTTCCCGAGCCAAGACCACAGAAGCCTCGCTGCCCCAAGCTTCTTCCTAAACATTTATTAATACCTTTGATCACTGAGCAGTGGTGGACCGCGGTCCCCGGGTGGGCTCCTCGGGCCCCTCCCCGGGGGGCATGTCCATGTGCATCTCCATCTCACTGGGGCTGGGCGGGGGGGCTGCGTTGGGCTGGGCGAGGCGCCCCTCGGACGACAGGGGTCTGTCTTTCCGTGGACGAGGAGGAGCTGTGAGACATGTGAGACATGGGGGGCTGAGGTGGCTCTCTTTCAGGCCCCACACCCCCCGCAGCCCACCTTGCCCGAAGCGCTGGCAGCACGGGGGGGGCAGAGTGCTGGAGAGGGGCCCGCAGGGCTGCGGTGGGCCGTGCAAGCCCGCACCGGAGCTCCTGAGCAGAGTTCCTTGCTAATCTCTGGGAGTTAAAAATCATCAAGGCCTCCTTGGGTGGCCGAGAGCCTGGCTCTTAGGTAATGTTTCCTCTAGTGATACAGGGGCTGTTGAGGCGCTGGTCACACCAGCAGGTGCAGGAATTGCTCCTAAGACTGTCCTCTCCCCTCTTGCTCCCCTAACATTTTAGGTGTCCTGAGGGTAGACAGTGGAGTGCCAAGGAGGGGGGAGCTAGGTGCCCCTAAGAACACAGTCACAGCCCTGCACTCTGTCCCCCACTGAATCGTCTGTTGCCGCCTGCTCTGCCTTGTGACCAGCATAGGTTCCGGAGGCTGACAGCTTAAGTCTGAATTCCACTCCTGCTGCTTCCTAGCTGTGTGACCTTGGGCGAGCACCTTAACCTCTCTGTGCCTTTGTTTTCTTAGCCGTAAATGAGGCTCACAGTGGTCCCTGCCTCTTCATGTTGGTGTGAGGATTAAAACTGGTTCGTACGTGTCAAGCCCCTCACAGTGCCTGGCTGGAGAGAGTAAAGGCGAGGTGCCCTGACTAGCGCCATCACTCCTCTCTGTTTCCGCTTCCTCTGGGCACTCACTGAGTGCTGGGACTGGAATGGGTGGTAAAGGGCAACTAGGGCTGGGTGTTTAACAGGGCTGGGGGAAGGGGGGCAGCCCTTGACCTCCTGCAGGCATTTGCAAAGTGTGCGAATGGAACTTTTTACAGGAAGAAGGGCAGCCCCTTTCGTTAGATCCCCTTTCTTGGGTGCCCTGACCCTGAGCAGCACCAATCCAGGGCCCCCCTTTACGGGCAGATGAGGAAACAGGTCTGGATGCGGGGGTGGGGAGACTTGCTCACAGTCACTTGAAGGTGATCCGGCCTCGTGGTGATTCAGGCCAGTGTCCCTCTCTGGCCCCCAGGGGTGGCTGGACCCTGGGGGACCCTTAGCCCCCAGACTTTTAGGCAGGAGTTAACCCCTTGGGGGAGCACAGGGACTCAAGGGACCGTCCAGGCCTGGGGGTGAGGAGAAGTTCCTCCCCAAACAAGGTCGGACTGCGCCCACCAGCTGCTGCACAGAGCTGCACTAGCTCCAGGAGAGTGAGCACCTGTGAGCTGCGGGGGGGGGCGGGGGGGGGGCGGGGAACTTGGGCCTGGAGCCAGAGCCCTGGGCTACAACCCTGCTCCTGTTCCCTCTCCTGGGAGATGGGGACAGTAACAGCATCTACCCACCCAGCCCTGTGATATAAGAAGAACTCAGCCGGGGCACCTGGGTGGCTCAGTGGGTTAAGCCTCTGCCTTCGGCTCAGGTCATGATCTCAGGGTCCTGGGATCGAGCCCTGCATCAGGCTTTCTGCTCAGCAGGGAGCTTGCTCCCCCACCACCCCGCCTGCCTCTCTGCCTACTTGTGATCTCTGTCTGTCAAATAAATAAAATCTTTAAAAAAAAAAAAAAAAAGAACAACTCAGTAAAGATGGATTTTTCTCCCTTCTCCCTCCCATCCCATCTCTCAGCTCCCAGGCACTTCCTCTCCCCAGGGAAATAAGCGCAGAGACCAGCCATGGGCAGGGAAGGGGGCCGGTGGGCAAGCAAGAGAGGCCTGGGGGCAGTGGAGGCCACCTGGAAGGCCAGAGGGAAGCTACCTGGGCTGTTGCCAGCCAGCATCTGGGCACTCTGTGGTCTCGAGGGCAGCTGGCCCTTGTCGCTGAGGGACTGCTGCCTGTGCACGTGGGGCCGGGACTGCTTGGCCTTGTGCTTGGTCATCCCGGAGATGGAGGCTGGCGGGGGACGGTGAAGGGGAAGGTCCATTCTGAGATGCTGAGTGGGAGCTCTGTGGGGACCCATGGGGATGGGGAGAGGGCTGCAGGGCCCCTGGTCACGACCGCCTCAGTGGGGGGCCTTCCCAGTTGGAACTAATGGACACACCCCTTCTAAGCACTCCATTCGTTCCCATGTCCATCCATCCATCCACCCACCCACTCAGATATGCTCTGAGGACCTACAGCCGTGAGCTCTGTGCCTGGTGCTGGGTGAGTTCTGACCTGGGCTCAAGTTCAGGAGGCCAGGCGGCTAGACAGGTGCATATGAGCTCTAAGAGCAGGTGGGGCTTTGGGAGGGGTCCTGAGGAGGGGCACTTTGAGTTTTGAAGGAGGGGTAGGACTGGGTCCTGGTGGTGCTGCGAACAGAGGCTGAGGCAGGCAAGCCGATGAGGCAGCACGAGGAGGAAGGCTGGCATGAATGTGTCACGGGGCCATGACGTCCTGGCTCATTGGCTGAGACTAGACAGCTGTCCCCGACCTGCCAACACTGACCTGGGGCTTTGAGAGCGTTTGGAATCAGGGCAGTAGCAGGAGGAGGCACCCAGGATCCAGTGGCCCCATGGCCTTCCAGGAGCTGGGCAGACCCCGAGGGACTCCTGAGCAAGGAGCCTGAGGAGTCTCTGGGCCCCTGGGACACTCACTGTCTTTGGTCAAGATGCCGGGCAGCCTTGTATCCATCCGTCCCTTGTAAATATGTCCATCCAAGCCCAAGATATCCACCTCATCATGCTGGGGGGCGGGGGAGGGATATCCATTATCACATGGCCCTTAGAGCATGCCCTCCAGTCCTTCCTCCATGAGATTGGTGGCACCAAGGGACGTCCTCCCCCCACTCCCAGAACCCTCCCCAAGGCTCTGGCAGCGGCAGGGCGAAGGGAGGGCCCGTGGTGGGGGTGGCAGGGCTGCTGGGCAGGAGGCCCAACAAAGCCGGGAGTACCAGAGGCTTTCAGAAACAGCCTCCAGGCAGAGGGCTGGTCATCCACCCTTCTGGTGACATTTTCCAGAATGACTTGAGAACGTGGGGTCCTGTGAGGGCCCTCTCTCTTCACTCCCAGGCAGCACCCCAACCTTCATGGCGATCTGGACCTCCTCGGTGGGGTACAGGCCCTGGGACAGGTGCTGTAGACGGCTGCGGCGGTAGGGGTACGTGAGGGTGTGGCTGCCCCCGCAGCGCCGGGGCACGCTCGAGTACACGTAGTCGGCTGTCTCCGGCACCCTATGGTGAAGACGGCAGCGTCACCGGAGCCGGTGTCCCCTAGGACCCAGCTATGGGGGGGCCAGCCAGCCGGGGATGGGACAGCTGTGTCAGGGGTCTCCAGGAGCCAGGGCAAAGCAAACTCGCTGCTGGGCCACCCTGAAGACCACTAATACCCTCTTTCTCCTGCCCGCCATCCCCCTTCTTTGGCAGGGCATTCCCCAGCAGTGGAGCAGACACTCACAGGGCTGTGGGTGGGCAGAAGCTGAGCCCCGCGGCCAGGGGCCCCGTCTGTGTGGTCCTACCGTTTGTAGCAGGGGGAGCTCAGGCACTGTGCCTGCAGCAGCTCCCGGATCATCTGGCTGCTGGCCCGGACCGAGCCTCCGAAGTGGATCTGCACCTTCTCAATGTCCATCAGCATCTTGGAGTGCATGGTGCGCAGGCGCCCCACGCTCCGCTCCATGTGCGCCAAGTCGCCCCGAGGGAAGGCGGTACCTCCCAGCTTGAGGCTGTGGGGCACAGGCGGGTGGGTAAGGGGGCCACGCCAGTTCGAGCCCACACTCAGACCCAGGCCCACTCCAGCCCTTTATCTGTGCCCTTTTAAGCAGGACCCTGTGTGGGCAGGAGCCCTGCCCATAGCACCCCAAGGGACCACAGATGGGGCGGGGTGGAAGCCGAGAGGGGGAGCAGCCCTGCACACTTAGCCCTCCCTACCTGGAACCCTAGGGGCTCCAAAGTGCAGTTTGAAATCATCCTTATCGCTGAACCCTCATCCTTGGGAGATGGAAATGTGGCAGGGAGGTGGGCAGGAGCCCAAGGAGTGTGCATTATGTCCCCACTTCCTCCCCCAACAGCCACTGAGCCTACCCTCTGGCTGGGTGACATCGGACCCCTCCCTTCCTCCCATGCTGGGGCTGCTGAAGCATCTGGGGGTGTGAGGAGGTAAAGAGGTCCCCCGCTGGCAGCCTCAGCAGTGTCCCACCGGGACCCCCAACAGGGACTCAAAGGCAGGTGATTACTAAATAGACCTCCATTCTTCCTGTTATTGGGAAGAAGTGGGGGGCTAGCCCAGAAATTACTCCATGCCCCGCACTGTCTAACCAGGAGGAGGAGCCTCTCCAGAGAGCCACTCGCCCTCCAGCCTCTGCCCCGTCTCCCCTGCGAAGCCCCGCCCGGGAGCCCGCTGTCCCGTACTTGCGGCTCTGCTGCCTGACCTGCTCCAGCTCGAAGATAGTGTAGGGGCGGGTGGAACGGTGCCCAGGCAGGGCTGGGCCCACAGGAGTCACCGGGATAAATCTGGGCAGGGACAGAGAGAAGAGGACGGTTGGAGCGTGAGAAATCCCATTCCTAAAACCAGGACTCCACAGGCTACGTGCCCGAGGAGCCTTCCCGTCCAGGGTGTGGCAGAGGGAAGGACGGAGGGCTAGCAAGTGGTGAGGCATGTAGGAATGGACCCGGGGAAGAGGAGATGAGGAAGGACAAGTGTTGGAGGCAGGTAGGGAATGGAGGAGACGCAGCACAGCTGTGCCCGCCCCCATGACAGCCACCAGCTGGAGTTTGCCAGGTGTGGGCACTCACTGTCCAGTCACAGCTGTCTCCAAGGGCCGGTCACAAGAGAGGCAGTGGAAATGTGCCAAGAGCTGCCTGTGAGGAGTGGGATACACGCAGAAGGTGAGTGTCCTGCCCGGAGGGTGGGGAATGGGAGAGATGGAGAACACAGACGGCCTTGGGCCCTCTGCAGGCCCGGTGGGCCAGAAGCTTAGCTCACCAGGGTGGCAGGTCCCAAGCCACCAGAGGCAGATCTGGTCCCTATTCCCTGGGAACACACTAGCTCCTAGGCGTGCCTGCTTTGGGGTGCCTCTGCAGCGCCCACCTGTGCCAACCCAAAGCCAGTATGGGTTTCAAAGGGCCCCTGGCGGAGGCCCTGTGTGAACCTCGAGCGCCCTCTGGCGGCCAATAGTGGAAACCCGGGGATTCAAGCCTGCCCCAGGGCAGACCAGGGGACCCCCTGGAGCAGGCTTGGCTCTGGGGACTGTGGGCCCATCCCCGCCTCGGAGGCCCCAAGGAGCACACCCGTGCCAGAGAGCCTTAGCCTTCTCTCCTCACCCTTTCTCCAGCACAGGAGGAACCAGCCTAAGATGGAAGAGCTTTTCAAGCTCTCAGATTCTGTCCCTGCAGCTACGGGATGGTCCAATGGGATCAGCCTCTCTCCCAGAGCACACTGCGCTCGCTGGTGAGAGTTGTTCCTCTGGGGACCCCCCTCCCAGCCCCCCGCTGTGGTCTGCACCCCACCTCCGCATGGCCGCTGCCTCGTCCGCCTGGTAGAGGGGAGAGCGCTCCTTGAGCTGCTGCCGCAAGGACTTCCAGCGGTCTTCCAGCAACTTCTTCACGGGGTCCAGCTCCAGACGGTCCAGCTGCGGGTGGCGGTGGGTGAGCAGTAAGCGCTGGGAAAGCTGGGTAGGGGCAGGGAGTGATCTGCCGCCTCCAGACAGGAGCCACTGTCTGCCCTCACCTTGCTGTCCATCTCCACCAGGAGCTTGTCCAGCATCTTCTGCCAGTCCTGCTCATGGCCGCTCATCTTTGCCACCAGCTCCTGCATCATGTGGTTCAGCTGCGCCGTGGTGGCATCGAACTGGACACGGCTCACTTTGGCCGCCAGGGCGCTCTTATCAGCCTTCTGCCCGGAAGAGAGGAGGGGGCCCCAGGTCGGAGAGAGCTGTGGCAGGGCCCCATGGCCCTGACATCAAGCCTGGACGCTGAGCTACCCCCGGGCTCCGCTCTACTCCTGGCCTTTCAAAGAAGGACCGGTAAGACCTCGAGGGACACAGGGCGGCTCTTCTGGGCCTGGCCTGCCCTTACCACGTCAATCTCCATCTCCAGGTGCTCCCTGTTGGCCTTTTCCTTCTCGAGCTTCTCTAGGCCCTGGTATAGCACCTGGGAGCAGGGGGAGCGGAGAACGAGGATCCGGGATGGCAACGGCCTCACACCCCACCCCACCCCCACCCCAGCCGCCCGTGGGCCCCTCACGTCAATGTCCTTCTGCTTCTGCCGGTGGTCTTCGATGAGGCTGCTGGTGGTGATGTAGAGCTTCTCACAGTCGCCCTGCACCTGCAGGATGGCGCTCTGGACGTGGCCCAGCAGCTCTTCATCCTGTGGCAGGAGGCACAAAGGCAGGCTCCCTGGGGCCGCTGCCTGGTGTTACTGCCCCGCCTGGGCGGCCCTTAGAACATCGCCCGGAAGCTCCTGGCTGGTTCAGGCGGTGAAGCGGCTGCCTTTGGCTCAGGTCATGGTCGTCCCAGGGTCCCGGGCTCGAGCCCTGTGCCCGGCTCCCAGCTCAGCAGGGCAGTCTGCGTCTCCCTCTCCCCCTGCTCGTGCACTCTCTCTCAAATAAATAAAACTTTTAAGAAATCACCCAGCAGGTAGGCCAACTTTGGGCCCCATTCTGGCTCTCCACACTGCCCCCTGGACCGTGGGCAGGCTCTCTGCTCTGTGTGTCCACCCCCCCGGCATGTGAGCTTCAGCCCCCACCTCCCCATGGTCCAGCCTTGAGGGACCTGGCCCCCCAGAGGGGGTGCCCAGCAGAGGCGATCGAGGTTCCAGAGTGGTGTGCTGCCCTGTGGCTCCTGAGAGCTGGGGTGTGGGCTACCGTCTTCCCACCTGCCCTGAGCAGGATCTCAACTCCAGAGCCTAAGAGGCAGGACTCAGGGACTCTCGACTCTCCCTGCCCCCACCAGCAAGACTGCCCTTCGCTGGGGAATTGGGAAGGGGTCTGGAATACTGTATACTGTGTCAAGGAACCTGCTATGCCAGTGTCCCCCGAGGCACGTGAATGCACGGCCCCATCCCCAGGGAGCCAGGGTTTCGCCATGGTCTCATGTCCCCAGAGCTAGTTCTGCTCCTGCCCTCGCTGTGACCCAGTGAAAGGACCAGGGACTTGTGGCAAGCTGGCCCTGAGGCCAGTTAAGCGCCATCAGCTGCTCCCAGGTCTGTGGGTCTCCGGGCTGTGGCTCCCCGCTGTGGGGCACAGGAGGCCACGCCAGGAGGGGGGCCGGTGGGAGTCACCTGGCTCTGGAGCTTGGCTTTCTTGGAGGGCCGGGAGGCAGCCAGATTGTTGACCATGTCCTGAAGCTGCTCGTAGCGCTGCACCAGCGTGCTGACCTGGTGGCTCAGGTCCAGGCTGCAGGCAGGGCAGGTGGCCTCCGGGTCAATCTGGCCAGGTTCCAAAGTGGACAGCGTCTTGTGAGGAGCCATGCTCAGGGACAGCAGCGTGGAAGATGAGGCCAGCATGTTCTCAATGATCGCCCTGAGCTTGTCAAGCTGGGTGTGGGCAAGAAGGCAGGTGCAGAGCAGTGAGCGAGGCACGGCCGCGATCTGTCCACACGGCCGCGATCTGTCCAGACTGCCAGCCCCTGTGTGATTCAGGCAGTCACTGCCCCTGCCAGGGTCTCACAGAGCGTGGTGCATGTAGGAGGCACCCAGGGTCCGTCTGTTAAGTAGTGAACAGAGTTCTCAGCGAGTACAGCCCTGATGCTGAATAAAACCCTTACAGGACCGAAGTCTCTGGACCTTTCTCTAGCCAGCTCGTTGATTCAGTATGAGGACACGTCTCTCTAAACCCTCTAAACCCTCGAGTGGTGACGTCTGTTAGTCCACCAACACTTACAGGAGCTTGACGATGCCCAGACACAGCTCTGGGCCCTCTGCTGCTCACATATGCTCTGTCCCCAGCCAGCGTTCGGTAACAAGAAATCAGTGGGACGGGTGCTACTTCTGTTGCAGGGGTCTCTCCTGGTCTGGGCGGGAGCAGATGCCTTCCACTGGCTTTCCTGCCCTCTTCTGTTTCCCACAGTCCCTGTGCATCACCGCACATGACGGGTCCCGGGTCGGCACCCGGTTCTGGGTCAGCCAGTCCCACAGCCGTGGGACCTCTTGCCTGGCTCAGAGAGGGGCTGGGCCAACCGAATCCCCTCTCTTGGAAGTGTGTAACATCGCGGGGCCGAGGCAGCCCCTGTGGGCCATGTGCGAAAGTTGGCTGGGAGCACGATGGGAGGGAGATGTGGAGGTGTTGGGAGAGAAACGGGTAAGGACAGGGACACAGAAGCACAGGTGTGCACAGAAACAGACGTGAAGGACGGAGCCCGGGCAGCCCTGGCCAGACTGCCCCCTTGGCCTGGAAGTCCAGCCTTTTCCAGCCTCCCCCCACACCGATGTACTTTCAACCAAGCTCCCCTGTGCCTGAGCTCAGTGAGACTCCTGCTTGCTCCCAGAAGAACCCGCACTCTTCTGAAGTGTTCATAAGCGTGGCAGAGGGCCCGTGGGGTAAAAGGATGGACTGATTCTCTAGAAGAGAGGAAGGTGCCTCCCCAAACTATGGGCTTTTCAGTGGAGTTGTGAGGGGTAAGTAGGAGCCCGCTGGGTAAGTGGGGGTGACAAGGACATTCTGGGATGAGGAGCAGCGTGGGAGAGCAGCTGTGTATTCAGAGGTAGGAAGTGGAGACAGCGGAAAATGGGGAGAGTGGAGGCCGGTGCCCTGAAGAGGCTGTGGTGGGAGCCGGGCCTGCCTAGTGGGGAGTGTGGCTCCTGGGACAGCCCTGGAGGTGCTAAGCTTAGACGTGAGCTGTGGACACAATCTTCTACTCCTAGAGCCTCACACTGGACAAGTGGCTTTGGGGTCAAGACATGGTACATGCTGGTGGGGTGTGGGAGTGGCCCAGAACCAGGCCTCTATCCCCGAGGCACTCCTGACGTCAGTCCCCGTGGCCCCGTGGCTTTTCCCGTCCAGTCCTCCTGCAAGTACTCACAGGGCCAGTCCTGGTCGGGACGCTCTTCAGTGGGAAGAGTCTGGGACGACCCGCGGTAGCATCTCTCAAGATTTAAAGGCAGACGCTATCGGAGCGCCTGGGTGGCTCAGTTAGTTAAGTGTCTGATTCTTGCTTTCTCCTCAGGTCATGATCTCAGGGTCATGGGATCGAGCCCCGAGTCAGGTTTCACACCTGCACAGAGTCTGCTTGTCCCTCCCTCTGCTCCCTCCCCCCGCTTGTGCTCTCTCTCTCTCTCTCTCAAATAAAGACATAAAATCATAAAGGCAGACACTAACAAGAGGATGGAAAGACAGCCCACAGAATGGGCGAAAGCGTTTGCAGATGGCGTGACCGCGGAGAGTCTGGTAGCCCCGCCCTCCACGGCCGACTGAGAAGAGCCTGGTCTCACCTGGTCCTGCAGGTAGAGGGAGGCTTCGGAGACTGAGTGCTCCATGCTGACCTTGCCCCGCTCTTGGCTCTCCCTCAGCTCGGAGAGTTCCTTCTCGATGTCAGCCACGGTAACTCTGAGAGACGTGCAGAAGAGACGGCCTGGCGCCACCACCCATCCCAGGGTCTGGGCCCACATGTCCCACGAGGGACGGAGGATGCGCACCACGGCTCTTGGGCCCACCCCACGGCAGGCTCTATCTAGGGAGTCCCGGGTGCTGCTTGTCCAGGAAGTGGGTGCCCACGGGCCGACCTGAGAGGTTTCTAGGGGGTGGGAACTGGTCCCACTGTGAGAGGGCCCTGAGGGGCCTCTGACACGTGCTCTCCTCCAGCTTCGTCTGGGGACAGAGACGGCTGCTGCTGGACTGTTTTTTTATTGTTGTTTTGTTTTGTTTTAAATTGTTTTAAAAGATTTTATTTATTTATTTGACAGAGATCACAAGCAGGCAGAGAGACAGGCAGAGAGAGAGAGGAAGGGAAGCAGACTCCCTGCTGAGCAGAGAGCCTGATGCGGGGCTTGATCCCAGGACCTTGGGATCATGACCTGAGCCGAAGGCAGAGGAATTAACCCACTGAGCCACCCAGGTGCCCCTGCTGGATGGTTTTAAGAACCTCGGAAACTTCTACTAGCCACTTGAACTACATATGGACACCCTGAAGGGCAGACACAGCCAGGGTCAAAGACAGGGGCCAGTTCAGACTGTGAGTGAGCCAAAGGCTGCCATCACCTACTTGGCTGGGGCGAGGCGATGCCCGGACACAAGTTGCGCTCAGCAGGAGTGTTTTACCTGAGGATTCCCAGCTGCAAGCTCAGCGAGCCATTCTTTGTGTCTTTTCCTGTTTCGTATTCCCCGTTGCCCTCCAGGATCTTCTGCATCCTCTCCATCTACAAACCCAGCGGAAGAGGAAGGTCAGGCTTAGGCCTGAGTTCTTGGCCTTCTGCATATGTGTCCGCAGCCCAAGCAAGCCCCTTTCCTGAGTCCGAGTCCTGATCCAAGCCTCTAACAAGAACCATTGGTCAGTCTGTCCCTTCTGGACATCCATCCATCCATCTGCCCACCCATCTATCCATCCGTCCTGCGGCTGTGGACAGCTGGCATTAAGAACCACTGAAGAGGGGCACCTGGGTGGCTCAGTGGGTTAAGCCACTGCCTTCAGCTCAAGTCATCATCTCAGGGTCCTGGGATAGAGCCCCACATCGGGCTCTCTGCTCAGCGGGGAGCCTGCTTCCCCCTCTCTGTCTGCCTCTCTGCCTACTTGTGATCTCTCTGTCAAATAAATAAATAAAAAATAAAAAAAAGAAGAAGAAGAACCACTGAAGATCCGGTAGCCCTTTGCCATGGCCACTGGTCCCGGAGAGTCCCCCAAACTTGGCTCCAAGGCTGCTGCACTCCCAGTGGGCTTTGTTGGAAACGGCCCCCACGTAATGAAAAGAGCACTGGCCTCCTTGTTGGCTCCGCCGGGTCTCAACAGCTTCGAGCATGCGGTGTGAGACCCAGGAACTGAACATGATGTCACCTGAGGGACATTTCCTACCTGAGAGGCTTGTAAAAATCCAACGAGATAATATGTCAGCGCAAGGACTGTGCCATCCATCAAAATACAAGTGGAAAGTGAGACTGCAGGCCCTCAAAGGCAGAGTGGGCAGGCCCTCCCTTACTTACTTTTGCTTTTTCCTGCCGAACTTCTTTGGTTAAGGACTTTAAGGTGTTCAGCTGTTCCTGCAGGTCTGGGGGTATAGCCTTTTTGACTGTGAATAATGGAGGCCTTATTCGTCAAAAGGGTTAGATCTCCAGCAGGCTCCCAATCGCTGTTTCCAGCCCCCATGGTGAAGCCCCCCACCCCTGCCAGCAAACAGCAGGACCCCCTACTTCTGCTTTTCCCGGTGACTGGGGAGGGGGGATGGGATGAAAGAAAGAGGGGTGTCCTTACCCTTTAAAAAAATCCACCTAATGCTTAGTATCCTAAAGGACTTTGGGACTACTAACCCACACTTCCCACCCAACTCTCAAATCTTAATTATTCTCTGGGCCCACTGCTGTGCATGGACCATAGGCATCCTCCCTCCCATCCTCCCCCCGGCCTCCGCGGCTATCCAGATAGCCGGCCAGGGCATCCGAACCGCCTCACTCTCCTCCTGAGGCTCCTTCGCTCCGAGCCGTTTAATTCCAACTTTTGGACCCCAAAGGCTATAATAGAGCCCAGAAAGGCTAAGAAGGGACATGCTATTTGCAGCAACTCAGGAAGCAGCCCAGCAGCCAGAGGAGGCCAGGGGATGCCGGATACACAGACAGCAGCCCCTCCTCCTCGTCCCTGGAACCCACCCATGAGGCCGAGCAGGTACTGGATCTTCTCCAGGTCGGTCTGGCCAGCCTGCTCCTCGTCCAGCTCCTTCATGTTCTCCTTGAGCTCTACATAGAGGCCAAGGAGCTCTCCCATCAGACGAAATGTTTCCACTGCCATGGGGAAGGTCGGGGCTAATTTATCCAGCGAGTCACGTCTCTCGCTCTGGAAATCGCTCTTTTCGGAGGAGACTCGGTGGAGACAGCTGAGAGAGTCCGCGCTCCTGGGAAAGGCGGCTGCTTGGCTGGGAAGAGTCTGGACCGGAAGGGCAGGCTGGCTTGGGGCCTGTATTTGTTTTGGATCCAAACCCATCTGGACGCTTGGGCCCTGAGGGCCAGGATAGGATCGGTCCCAGGATTCTGGGATAGAGGATACATGGTCTTGCTGTTCTGTACCTGCTTGTCCCTGGCCATGCTGATCCGGGCCAGGTGAAACCAAATGCTGTTGAGCTCGCTGTGCAGATCCCACATGGGGGCTTAATGGTGTCAGGCCATGCTGGTCTGTGCCACGATGTAACAAACCTTGCTGGTAAGTTTCTGGTAAACCCTTTTGGCCAATCCCTGGTGATTCCAAACCTTGATTGGCTAGAAGTGCTGACACCTGACCATGTTGGTATCTGCCAGGAGGTATTACACCAGGGTGATATGGATGTGCTAAAGATCTTGGAAAATCTGGGGTAAATGCTGGAAAGCCACGAAGCCCTGTGCCTGCTGGTATCACACCTGGTTGTCCAGTACCAGGTTGCCTCAAGCCATACTGATCAATTTCAGGTTGAACCAAACCACGCTGATCAGTACTAGGCTGCATGAAACCATGTGCATATGTACCAGGCTGGATCAAACCACGAGGATAGGCACCAGGTTGAACTGAACCACGAGGATAGGCACTAGATTGACCCAAACCTTGTAGATAGGCACCAGGTTGGACCAAACCACGTGGATAGGCACCAGGCTGTACCAAACCAGGAGGATATGCGCCTGGTTGAATCAATCCAGGAGGATATGCACCAGGTTGAGAAAAGCTACGTGGATCTGTGTCAGCCTGTAGCAAGCCACGCTGATACACTCCACGTTGCCCTAAACCAAGCTGATCTGTACCAGGTTGGACCAAACCACCCTGACCTGCACCAGGCTGGACCAAAGCAGGCTGAACTATGCCAGGCTGAACCAAACCAGGCTGACCTGCGCCAGGTTGCACCAAACCACGTTGATCCAGTACAGGCTGCACCAAGCCAGGCTGACCTGTACCAGGTTGTACCAATCCACCCTGATCCATTCTAGGTTGGGCCAAACCACGCTGACCTGCACCAGGTTGGACCAAACCCCGTTGATCCAGTACAGGCTGCGCCAAGCCAGGCTGACCTGTGCCAGGTTGCACCAAACCCCACTGGTCCATGCCAGGCTGCGCCAAGCCAGGCTGACCTGCGCCAGGTGGCACCAACCCACGCTGATCGATGCCAGGCTGCGCCAAACCAGGCTGAGCTGCGCCAGGTTGTGCCAAACCATGGTGATCCGTGCCAGGCTGCGCCAAGCCAGGCCGACCTGTGCCAGGTTGCACCAACCCACGCTGATCGATGCCAGGCTGCGCCAAGCCAGGATGACCTGCACCAGGTTGCACAAAACCACGATTATCGATGCCAGGCTGCGCCAAGCCAGGCCGACCTGTGCCAGGTTGCACCAAACCACGCTGATCCATGCCAGGCTGCGCCAAGCCAGGATGACCTGCACCAGGTTGCGCGAAACCATGATGATCGATGCCAGGCTGTGCCAAGCCAGGCTGACCTGTGCCAGGTTGCACCAACCCACGCTGATCGATGCCAGGCTGCGCCAAACCAGGCTGAGCTGTGCCAGGTTGTACCAAATCATGGTGATCCGTGCCAGGCTGCGCCAAGCCAGGCTGACCTGCACCAGGTTGCACTAAACCACGCTGATCCATGCCAGGCTGCACCAAGCCAGGCTGTGCCAAGCCAGGCTGACCAGTGCCAGGTTGCACCAAACCACGATGATCCATGCCAGGCTGTGCCCAACCAGGCTGACCAGCACTAGGTTGCGCGAAACCATGCTGATCCATGCCAGGGTGCGCCAAGCCAGGCTGACCTGCGCCAGGCTGACCAGCACGAGGATGCACCAAACCACGTTGGTCCATGCCAGGCTGCACCAAGCCAAGCTGACCTGCACCAGGTTGCACCACACCATGCGGGTCCATGCCAGGCTGCGTCAAGCCAGGCTGACCTGTGCCAGGTTGCACCAAACCACGCTGATAAATGCCAGGCTGTGCCAAGCCAGGCTGACCTGTGCCAGGTTGCACCAAACCACTCTGGTCCATGCCAGGTTGTGCCAAGCCAGGCTGACCTCCAGGTTGCACCAAACCACGCTGATCCATGCCAGGCTGTGCCAAGCCAGGCTGACCTGCGCCAGGTTGCACCAAACCAC